CCCCAAAACCCCAAAACCCCAAAACCCCAAAACCCCAAAACCCCTTTAAATTTTATAATAATTGAATTGATCAAAATGCATGAAGATAACGGACTATTAGATGAGAATACTAAACAAAACCTCGAATCTAATACAGAAGTAGCAGGTGACATCCACCTAGAAGAAGGTCAGAGAGACCCAGAAGAGATCAACAAGATCAAGAAGAAAGTAGAGGAAGACATGAAGGAAGTTTCAGAGTCTTCAGGACCTACCTCCGTACTTCCAAAAGGAATTAAATAAATCTAATTTCTCTATCGAAGAAGGTAACATCATCTATGCTCCTGAAAACCCTGAGTTTGACTTTGAGGCTTTGAAAGCTTCATCACACTTTATTTTCAAGAAGCTCAAAGAATCAATCTACATGGGAGAGGTTCAGAAGGGCAAGAGGCATGGCCAAGGAGTGATGAAGTATAATTCTGGAAGAGTCTATGAAGGCGAATGGGAGAATGACATCCGCTGCGGCAAGGGCTTCGAGCGCTATACCAATAATAATGCTTATGTGGGAGAATTCAAACAATCGAAACCTTGTGGGAAAGGAGTCTATAAGTGGGGCAATGGTGAGGTCTATGATGGAGAATGGCACAATGGACTCAAACATGGCTACGGAATCTGGAAAGGCATATACGGTGACTCTTATATAGGGGAGTGGAAGAACTCTAAAGCTGATGGTTATGGAGTTCATACCTGGAGTAATGGTGATAGGTATGAAGGAGAGTGGAAAGCATGTCTGAAGCATGGGAATGGAACTGATATTTTCTCAAATGGAGATATCTACATTGGGCATTACAAAGACGGTAAGCCAGACGGGTATGGGCAATACATTTGGGAAAGCGGCTCGAGCTATGTTGGCAACTTTAAAGATGGTCTCAAGCATGGAAAGGGTAAATGGAAGCAGAACAAGAAAGGAGCCCTTTCCAACACCTACGAAGGCGAATATTACAATGATGTCAAACAAGGCGAGGGAGTCTTCCGCTGGGCTTCTGGAAATGTTTACATTGGCCGCTACAAAAATGATGAGAGAGACGGCCACGGAGAAATGATGTGGACAGATGGCTCTAAATATGTAGGCGAGTGGAAAAACGGAATCCAAAATGGCTACGGTAAAATGGAATTCCCCAATGGCACAGTCAAAGAAGGATATTTTGATAACAATATTTTTAAAGGAAAGAATAAACCTGAAGAACCTGTATTTGAAGATAATGAAGTTCCATTGGAAAACAGTAAGATGGACCCGATTGAGCAAGAAGATCTATGGGAGAAATATGGCCAAAAGAGGAAAGGCAAAGGCAAGCCTAGTGCTAATGCTTCTGGAGATGGATGGTATTATGACCCTGATTTAATAAATGAAGGCAATGCTCATTATTCAGCATTAGATGCCGAAGAATACAACAATAATATGATTCATACAGCTCATCCAAAAGATGAAGGAGGTATGTATCCTCCTAATGCATTAGATAAAGCTAGGAACAAGAATACTGCTGATACAACAGTTAGGAAAAAGGCAAGAAATTCAAAAACAAGAATGTCGTCAACTGGTCTAAAGAATAAGAAAGGAATGAGGGCTCCTATACCCAAAGTACCAGCTGCTAAGAATCGTAAAAGATAGCCCTCATCTTTGGATCGTACTAATAATTGCTAATAATTCTTCTATCCTGGTAATCTAGAATAATTTCAACATTCGTGAGATCAAGAGGGGTTTTGGGGTTTTGGGGTTTTGGGGTTTTGGGG